TCTTTATTATTAGAAAAATCAGACTAAAAATATAGAGTTATTATCGTCACTAAGAATTTTTAAATTTGATTGAGTATCTGTGAATGAACGAATATTTGATGCTTCATTAGGTATTTGATTAGGTATATTCTGATTCGATACCCTTTGAAAATTTTTATTTTCTATTTCATTAGAATTTGTGTTTTGATTCGATACACTGAGAGAATTTTTATATTGTAATTTTCTACATTCTTCTATTGTATGTCCGTACTTTTTACAATATTTGCATTGTTTAATATTATTATGTCGACTATTTGAAGAAGGTTGATTAAATGTATGATTAAAGTTATGATTATTAGAATTATTAGAATTGTTAACATGAACTCGGTAATTTCCATTAGATTGCGGATAATTTTTACGACAATTATTTGTAGAATGCGAATTGTTACGACATATTTTACAGTATTGGTTGCTTTTATTAGTTTTTAACATATTTAATATCCTTTCTTCACAGAGGGCAGCATTATGAGCCTCCTTAATGCAATTAAATCCTTTATATCTTAACATTTGTGAAATTTCTGGTATAGAATGGTAAATGAATCTGTTTAAAGTTAAATCGTGTATAGTTTGAGTTTTACCCGGTAATTCGGCATCGTTTCGACAACTCTGCTTAGCAGAAGAAATTGTACGATGGTTTAAAACTTCTAAACGTTGAAAGAAATCATCTACGGATTCATTAGAATTTTGTCTACAGTTATTTAGCTCTTCTATTAATTGGACATAATGTTTTCTCTCTTTATATAAATCTTTTAACTTTTGTCTTAGGTTCTCCCACGATTCGAAATTTTGTGATGTTAGTTGCTCTTTTGCTGTACCTGATATTCTTGATAATATAAAATATAATAGAGGTAATTTTTGATTTTCACTTGCTAACTCATTAGCACTATTACAATTTGCTAAAAATTGACCTAATTCGTTTCTATTACCGCTAAATCCGAAAGGAATCAACCTACATATGAAATCTAACGATAGTGAATCGATATTTGAATTGGTATTCATGATGAATTTTGTTAATAAATTTAGTTAAAAAATATCCCTTAATCTAATATTCCAGGCAGTGGACGACCTGCCCTAAACCATTGTTCAGATAGACAGACGTCTGCGAAAGCTATATAAATTTATGATCAAAATTCCCAACAGTAATAGTTAAAGTTATCAATTAGAATTATATTGTAGGGTCGTTTATGACCTCAAAGGTATGAAGGTTTTTATTAGAGATGGGACATTCCTAAACTAATATTACAAATTTGATTAAAATGAGGACGGGATTATAACAATATTTATACATTTCATATATTAATTTAAGATAAGGTAGTAGATATTCATATTATGTAGATATTCATATTATTTGTTAGGTTATACTATAATGCTACTCGGTTAACCAAGCAGTTATTTACTGAACTTCGCCGAGGATTATTAAAATAAAGACATATTATTATTATTATTATTATGTGATTAAGCTTGACCGGCACAACGTTGCCCACTTTTACATATTTTCTTTTAATCAAAATATTTTAGGAAACAAAAATAAATGAATTATAAATATATAAACAGTTATTATTTACATCAACAAAACTCACCTTCTTAACAGCACTTATAAGGGGCATTACTCCCGCTTTCCCGTTCAAAATATTCTAATAAAGTTGCGATGAGGTTTTTACGGCTATTAAGCTTGTACACTTCGCTCTAAAAGAGGTTCCAAAATGAACAGTGTTCGACTGCAAGGTCTCCTAGTAAACATTTTTAAGCTTAAAGTATCACAACACTATTTATTTAAACCAAAAACTCGTAATACAAAACTAAAGTGTCAGAACGAATGACAATGTCAGGAAATAAATAAATAAATGCGGCAACTTGACATTTTTTAGAGCAGAGCTACCACCTGAAACCCCAGCGAGAAATTTAAATTCCAGTTAGTCAGCACGGCGTCGAATATGTCCATGGTATGGCAACAATGAATTTAAAAATCGCGCCCTCGGTTACATAACTAAAAGTTTAATTGATATCAAATATATTAATATTGTTAATAAAGCCTCTCAAAATACTGCAGTTATCATCTAAACATTAATAATATTTATGATGCAACTATATTGTTATCCGAGTTATCCGTTATACCATCCGAGTTATGTTTTATCTTCATGGAATTCGGTTAAATATAAGTATTGATCATTTCTAACGAAAATTTGTCATATGATATTTTTAACCGAAATAATTACCATTATAAGACGCATCTCTAATTAAAATTAATAACAATGTCCGCCTATTAACCATTATTATCGATTTAATATTTTAATAGCTCGAATGCAAAACTGGCCTTTTTTAATCACGATTCGTTTTTTGACGAGCTAATCGTCCTATCATTTAAACGAATACACTGCCAATTAGAGATGAACAATTTACCGGTTCCGTAAGCCTATTAGATGCAAAGCCCGACGCTTTTCTACATAGGTGTAATTTTCGGCTTATATTAAACAGATAGAAAGAACTCGGTGCCTAAATGACATTAGATAAGTGACTTAATATTTGTTTTGATTCGGCCCTAATTGATCAATGAAGCGTGTGCATCGATCATTGTCATTTTTTATAGACTTTTTTAGATATGATTTTTTAGACGATTCGTGCGGTGCAATTCATGTGACAGCAGTCGTTATTTACTATGATTGCATTTTAAATATTCAATCAATATTTTTCAGAGTCTATAATACATTTTAAAATATAATCATTTTGTAAAAAATATATTTCTTTTTGTAAAAATTGTGATTAAGTTGTAGAGTACAATAAAAGTTAATTAATTTTTGGGACCTTTCGTACATTTGATTTTTGACAACTTTATGTCATAGTATAGTATACAACTTTAGTTGGAATTTCGAACGTGCTAAATAACGAATTCTTTCACTTAACCAAGGGACACGTTCTAGGGTTCGTTCGCATGTAATAAAGTCGAGAAATATGCATTTTTTCTGTTAAAAATTCGGAGCCGGGCCGGTCCGAGATGGGCCCCGAAACGTGTAGATATGTTGGAAGTGAAGAGCGCCAAGGCAGCCACTCGGGTTTCATATCAAGATTCCATATGGCAGGCCCGTGACCCATCCTCCCTAACTCTCCGACCGTAGTTTATACGTATCTCGTTCCCGATCTCCTTTTCTGGGTTCTCCATAGGCGTACCACTAGTTTTTTATGTAATTTATTTCTTACGTGAATTTTTTTCTCATTTTCAAATATTCTTAGAATAATTCTTGCAATTCTCTACAAGCTAGACACAAGCCATCATGCAGCAACTACACTATCAGACAAAAGTAGAGAAACTCGTCGAATTTCAAAAACCTCCAATATTTAAATTAATGTTTGTTTTAAACATATTTCCTTTTAGCAATACCATCATTTTTCGCCACATTCCAAATTTATCTTATCAGGTGTTTATTTATAATATTGACCACATAAAAATTGACCATACTTAATAGTTATTTGCTTAAGGTAAAAACTGTTGATATTCTGGCTTACATTTTTACTTAATATGCCACGCGGAAAATATTTGTTTGAGGATCTTCGCGAAAAAATAATCAACGCACATCGGAATGGTGTACGGCAAATGGACATAAGCACAATGTTTAATTTGCATAAGTCTGTCATTAGCAAAACGATTTCCAATTTCAAAACTCGCAATTCCTTAAAGACTATTAAAAAAAGTGGTCGGCCAAGGAAAACAACGAAAAAAAATTAAATGATAATTAATTAAATCGCCTTAACTAATCCGCATAAATCGGCAAATCAAATTTTGAGTGAACTACCTGGTGTCAATATAAGCTCTAGAACCGTTCAAAGAAGGCTAAGGGAAGCAGGATTATTTAGCAGAAGAGCAGCCAAAAAACCACTCATCAAAAAATATTTACACTGGTCGACGAATGACTGGAAAAAGGTCCTGTTTTCAGATGAAAGCAAATTCAATATATTTGGATCCGATGGTATATCGTGGATATATCGCCCAGAAGGGAAAATATTTGATCCAAAGTATACCAAGGCTACTGTAAAGCATGGCGGTGGATCTTGCATAGGGTTCCCAACTTGAGCATCGGCGATTCCGGGACATTTATTTTTAAGCTTTTAAATAATTGAAGCAAGACATTAAATATTAGAAAATTAAATATATTATGTGTGTAGTACACTTTTTTAATTTCCAGGTCCCGGCCAAGGTAAAACTTTCGCCGGGACAAACTTTCTGATTCCTGGTTAATCCCGGTTAAACCGGGACGGTTGGGAACCCTAATCTTGCATAGTGTGGGGATGTAATGTATGTGGGGCATGTCATGTAATAGAAGGAACAATGGATCGATTTCTGTATTTGGATATCTTAAAGAAAGCGATGATTCCGTTTCCTGACGATAATTTGCTTTCAACCTGGATATTTCAGCATGATAACGATCCAAAGCATAAATCGAAAGTCTTACAAGAATGATTTTTGTTTGAACAAATTAGGGTTATGGACTTTCCTGCCCAAAGTCCAAACCTTAACCCCATTGAAAACCTGTGGGAGGAACTAGATCGCCGGGTAAGACGAAGTCACATTAGCAATAAGAAAGATTTAATAAGAATTTTGAAAGAGGCCTGGAATTCTATTGAACCAGATACCATAAGAAAACTATAGGACCCTCTATAGCTAGACCCTCACGGTTACTCCACCCATTATTAATTTTATTAGGTTAGCAACAACTATGTACTTGTAATTTTTATATAATTTTTAGTTTCTCTATTTTTGTCCCTATTCTTTTTTATTTAACTGAATAAAATCTTAAGTTTTCGTGAGACATGTGATTATTTCATTTAAATAAGAACTAGTGAAGTATCTTTAATTTTAACAATACATAAAATGGTATCAGTCCCTGCGTTAACAAAAAAGACACAATTTTAAAAAGTTTCTCTACTTTTGTGTAGAAAATAATTTTTAATTTTACAGTTACCTCTTTGCCCTCCGTTTGATACGCCCTTGCCTCCGAATTCGTAATACACGGTCAGTCTTAAAAACTGTTGAATACCTGTGGCGCCTTGTGTCTGGCCTCTCGCCTGGTTCCACTACTGAATAAAAGAACGCCATAGACCCGACCATCGCTGGTACAAAGAGGGTATTATGCTTGTATGTGACGAGACTGCTATACGGGGTGTTAACCACTGCCTTTGTTTTTCCTGAAAAGAGATTATCCATATTTTTAAAGCTTCTAGAATGACTATGTTAACTTTAATATTGATTCTGCAAAGAAATTAAAGTTTAAAATTCCTTTTGGTTAGAGATTATAACATTCGGGTTAATTCTTTCTTAAAATACTTTTTTGATAGTGTCAACAATAATTAACATGCCTTTTTGGTGTACTAAAAACTGAAATATAAGAAAAATATATTAAATAAATTTAGCAAGTTGCGCAGTAGATTTATTTAATGCTAACACACACTAGCTAAAAAGAAGTTTCGGATTTTTTTTCACTGATATAATTTCTGAAAATTTCATGGGTGATATGGCAACAAATGACCTAAATTCATTAATCACTATAGAGAATAGATATCTTAAACAAATTAATAAATGTTGTTTGTATTTATTAAGAAATTATAACAAAACGCTATTATTTGATTTCCTCTGTTTTATCTTTAGCTTTTGATTTGGCTTTGTGGTATTGTTTCTGACATCATCAACCATGCAATTGTCTCAAATTTAATGATATTTATACACAGACACAACAAAAGCACTTGTTCCAACCTTAGGTTTATTATTTTTGCATACTAAAAGGGCTGGCAAAGGTTAGTCTTGGGTCGAGATTTCCGTATGTAAGAAGAGTACAATGCGTTTATAATGTACTGAACAAAGAGAGACCAGTAACCACGTTGCCAAACGTATGAAATAAACCGAGAAACTGTGTACATTGCTCAGAGACGTGGAAGGGGATATAGCAGATTTGTCGCAGTTGACCGGTCGACCCAATCAGTACTTCTGTCTGCTCTGTCAGTACTTAAAGCTCTAGGGAAAGGTGTACATCATGCGTTCAGCTTCACGATTTAATTACGTCGCGTGATACTTTATTTGTTTATTTATCAACGAGTCGTTGTAGTTTTCCCTATAGCTTGAAAATTTTTAAGTGCAAGCTAGAAACACTTGCATTTTTGGTAAAAATAACTGGAATTGAGTTGGTGTTCGATAGTGGTCGCGCTATTAGAACTCTGAATTGAAAAATCGATATCTCGAAATCTATTAGAAATAATTTTAATTGTAGTTTTTTCAAAAACTTGCTTAATATTTCTGCTGTATTTTCTTCGTTACGTTCTTAAAAAAAATTACACGATTGCTGAAAATTGCTATGCTCTAAAAGTAAACGGATGAGTTGTTTACAATTTTTGGATGAAAAAAAAACAATCTTATCGAATTTTTCTTATGTAAACATATTGTAAAAGATCCGATCTTCAAAATAAAAAAAAATTCAATATCTAAAGTGGTTCTTGAGTTATGGCGTGTTATGTGTTACAAAGTTAAAGAGATTTTAAATTATTGGGATTACCGACGTTTTCTCGTTATAAAAAAATGACCCCCTAACGATATCCTTATAATTCCATTTCAGATGCTCAGAAACATGTCTAGTGATTTTATCTAGTTATCTTTTCGAAAAAAAGTCTTTTAAAAATAAGGGGTTTGCGATCGTGATTTTACTTTACTTGAATTGATTAATTACTTACGCATTTTTCTCACTCCGACTTAATAAGAGCCTTATGCAATTTACTTCCACACATGTAAATACCGACCCAAAAGTAACAGTTGCCAGCACGGTATAGCCAATATTTTTTCAATATTTAAATTTTCCAGCTTCTTACCATTACTGTGTGATAAAACAGGCTTTAATTTTGACAGTTAAAAATATTCGAATTCCAAGTACTGCACACCTGATCTTGAAACTTCTTAGTCAGAACGTATTTATACCATATTCTATTAAAAAAGTAGGTCAAAATAACTTCTATTAGCCAGAGATTTTTTCTTACAAGGTTTTCAAATAAGAAATCTTTATATCTAATGTTCGACGATAAGAATACCAACCAGATGAGAGTTCTTTCTTAAATAAAATCTTATTCGAAGGATGTTTTATTTATCTCGAACGGGGGCACAAAGAAAAAGTTCCTTCCATTGTGGACGATTTAAGATTTTCTGAACCGTATCAATCGGTCGATCTCCGCATAGCCCAGCCGCAAGAACTCGAAACAAACCAGTAGCAGCGCCATAAACTGATAATAAAAACCAAAAGGCACAGCGGAGAATGTCCTCTGTATGCTCAAGGATATCACGTATGAAATTATATCCAAGTTTTTCTATGTCCAATAGCCGAAATATTGTGCAGTGTTAGCATTTTTTTGTCCCACTTTTAAAAGGCTGTATCATTTTTATTTTTGGAGATAGAGCATTCTTAAGAAAAAAGAAAAATTATAGTTTTTTCAGCCAAGTTTTTTAACACGTATTACCAAAAATGTAAAAAAGATATTCTAATACATAACACAAGACAGGAAATAGTAGAAGAATAAATCTAGAATGCCACTTTATTTAAAGAAGAAAACATTCGACCAATGTGTACTACCAGTTATGACCTATGCATGCGAAACCTGGACACTTAAAACGGACATTATAGGGAAACTGCAGGTCGCACAACGCTCAATGAAACGAAATATGCTGGGGATAACCAAGAGAGACCGTAAAAAATAGAGTGAATACGACAAAAGACCCAGGTAATAAATATCATCCACAGAGTCAAATCTCTCAAGTGTCAATGGTCAGGACACCTGGCAAAAAGGGTGGACAACAGATGAACCACAAAAATTACAGCATGGTACCTAGGAGGAACTAAGAGACCTAGAAGAAGACCGAACCTGAGATGGGACCATGATATTAGAAAATTAGCAGGGATAATTTGAGCCCCCATAGCCAACAATAGACAAAAATGGGTCCAACTACAAAGAGAGTATCTAAATATGCTACACCATAATTGGAAATGGTTGAATAAGCTGAAAATGATGATGATGATCCAAAAATGTAATACGCAGTCAGATGTTACAGTTATTGGTACATTTTTCAAATAGGATACTAATGATGAACAAGTGCAAGACATTTGGTTTTGCCCTTGCAGTTAATAGTAGTCTTGGTCTTGATCTTGTTAGGCTGCAGGGCCCAGGCTTAGTTTTGATCTTGCTGCAAAATTTTGCATTTTTTTCCTATTAAAAAAAGTCTTTTTGATAGATTTTTACTAGATGCATTTTCTTCTTTAAATCGAATGCATCTTTAACCATCAAACTCTAAGCTCGCTTGATCATAAACTATTTAGATGATGCGGTACATGGTTCGCAGCTGAGTGGGGGTTGGCAAATTATTACGTACATAATTATTAACCGTTATAACTTCATTCGCCGAACCAACTACTATAAAAATTAATTCTAATGAATCCTGCATTACTTCACAAACTGGTTTTGGAAAACTTATTATCTATTCCTGTACATATGTAAAAAAAACGTGTGATTTATCTTGGTGTCGTTAGTCTCCTAGGTGCATGTATACACACACGCGTATGCTCCTTCATATCGACCACAACACATTGTCCACTTTGTGGGTGTAATTAAAAAGTACATGTTCTCTCTGCACGCCGTTTGCATAACCGAGTTATCTATCCATAGGAATGTTCTATTAATATCGATGTTTTTTGACAAATGTATCGATATACAGAAAAAACCCGAGTAGTTTAAAATTTGTCACTATTTTCCGAAATTTTCAATGTACTTTTTTGTATTCAAGGCTGTGTGCAACTCAGTTCTTGGTTTGCTGCAATATTTTAGTGTACTGATTTCTTTCTCGATACTTATATACAGGGTGGCGCCTCTCATACGCCGCGGAAGCTCCAAGGATAACGGTAGTTTATATCGAAATGAAATTTTGGCAGCATACATATGTAGGCTAACTGAAAGCATTTTATAAAAATTATAAATTATATACAGGGTGTCCCCAAAAAAAGTTACAGATCAAAGTTGTGTTTTTTCTAATGGAACAACCTATATATTAATTGATTTTCGGATTCTAGGAAAAAAATAAAAAAGAGTTTTATTAAAGAAGCATATACCTAAAATCTAAGGATTTTGACATATTTCACATTTTGTGAAAATGAAGAGTAAATTTTAAACTTAGATAACAGCTACCTAAATTTTAGTTGACCTTGTATAGCCTGATATTTAACTACAGTAACCATTATATGTTAAACCAAATTGAAATTTGACCCGAAAAGTTAGGGTGAGACAAAATTAATATGGAACATTAGTCACTTTTAAAAGCAAGTTACTCCTTTATTTTAAACGGAACACCCAGTATATTATTCTACTAGTTGTTAAAGTTGGACTAATTAGACAACTATGTTGAAGTAACGTCACACCACCTAGATTTTAACACATAATAATGATCTATTCAGATCAAATCATGTAACTGAAAATATTTAGCAAAATCTTTGTTTGAGGGGTAGGCAACCTTAATAGTATTTTGAAGAGACATAAATTCTCCATTGAATATCGGAATAATATACTGGGTGTTCCATTTAAAATAAAAGTAACATGCTTTTAAAGGTGACCAATGTTCAATATTAATTCTGTCTCACTCTGTATTAACTTTTGGATCAAGTTTTAATTTGATTTAAAGTACAATAGTTAATTTAACTACATATTAGACTATACCGGGTAAATTCCAATTTAGGTAGCTTTTATTGTAATTTAAAAACTGTTCTTTATTTCTAGAAAATGTTAAATATGTCAAAAATCTTACATTTTAGTCATATTTCTCTTATAAAACTCACCTTTATTTTTAAAAAACATAACTTTGACATGTAACTTTTTTTGGGGACACCCTTTAGACCTCTCTATATTTTTAAAAAGTGTTCTGAATTAACCAACAGCTCATAAAATGTCATTTCAATACAAACTGTCGTTCTCCTTGGAGCCTCCGCGGTGTATGAGAGGCGCCACCCTGTACAAGAAGTCTGAAAATATTCTAAATTTGCGAATCTTCAATTTGTGACAAATACAAATTTCAAAACATCATGAAATAATTGTCAAATTTAAGAATTTACGCATTGGGAAAATCGTGATTTAAAATTTTTATTTATAAAAAATATATTAGAGATTTGAAGGTTTATAAAAATATCGATATCGATATTTTTATCGAAAAACACCATCTCTATTTCATGGTCTGGAGTGGTTCTGTAGCAACAGTTCCCATTGTAACGGTACCGAGCATGGCATTTCGATAGATCGATCGTCCAACAATAATGGCGAATTAAGTCGCCATTGTGGCATTGTTCAAAAGCGATTTACGACCAACCGCGGCCAAGTTTATAACTCCGATCTAAACAACTCGTACGTATTTTCTCTCGATTTGGTACCGGTCACTGTTTACTTTAGGTCCGGCTTCTGATAAGTGTTCTTGCCTCAGTTTCTTGTTATCGATTTGAAATCTATGGAGAAACGACATTTTTTTCCAATCTAACTACTTTAAGCTTTGTAGTATTAAAGTAACTAGTGAAGTAACACGCCTATGATATTTTTTTTTTAAATAATGTTGACAATTCATAGTTTACAAAACTTTTTAGTACCACAGGTTCATACTCCTGAAATTTCCATCTCTTACGTTACCTACAGTACACAATCAATTACAACAATTAATTTTATTAGTACCAGTAGGCATTACAAGTAATGCTTAAAAAAACTCATTGTACTTATTTTTAAACACACAAAAACATATTTTTTGAAGTTATTTTCAACCAAACTGTAAATATATTTGGGACAACTAATACACCGCTCGGGATCTCTACCACCAGAAATCAACAGAAGAATTAAGTTGGCATTGAGTACTTATGGAAAAAACTCAATCATAGTCAAATCTAGAATGCCACTCTATCTAAAGAAGAAAGCATTCGACCAATGTGTACTCCCAGTCATGACCTATGGACGAGAAACCTGGGCACTTAAAACGGACATCATAATGAAATTGCAGGTCGCACAGCGTTCAATGGAACGAAATATGCTGGGAATAACCAAGACCGTAAAAGAACAGAGTAGATACGACAAAAGATCCAGATAATAGATGTCATCCCCAGAGTCAAATCCATCAAATGGCAATGAGCAAGACACTTTTTTGCATTAAAATATGTTGCACTTATAGTAAATTTTACTCTTAAAATTTCATTCGAATCGCACTAAAAGCATTTGGAAGAAAATGATAATAAATTGAAAAATAAACGAAGACTAACGTCCTGTAGCTATGAAACAGGGCAGAACCGGACCTGTATTGATATAAGAAATAAATTGTATTTTTACATGAGGAATCTCCCCACAAGAGATGGCACATGTTCTTTAAAACACCCTGTATACGATTAAGGAATGCAAAAGTTATTCCGAACCAGCGAGTGTGTCTTAAGGCGAGCTGTTTTCATCTAAACCCGATAATTAATTGCTTATTTAATAGTGCGTTTTAGCGTTATCGCCGAGGGTTGTTTCGAGCCGAAAAGAGGCGTGCATTGCAATTAAAACTAACGACAAAATGCAGAAATAAACGCAGGATACGATCGATCCTTTCTAACCGCATTTCGATCATATCGGAATGGCCGATAAATCGAGTGGCTTGTTTCCCTTTTTTTCTCCTGCTTAATCGGCCGATAAACGGGATCATTCTTGGTTTTATTATATTTGCGTGGAACACGTGGTTGTGTGGTGGAATTGGTGAAGATATTTTCGATGCCCGCGTGAGTAGTATCGTTATCTTCCTAATTGAACATTTCAAATCAGCTGGATTATCTCATAGAGTATTATTATTTGAATGTGTTTATTATGAATATAAAGCTGAAACTCCGGTTTTGCATATTATGTATTATCCCTCATTGTCTCTTGACGATTCCATATTTACTTACAACCTGTTTTAAATTAAAACTGTTTTCAAGTCTGTAAGTAAAAAATGAGAAAACACTAGAACACCTCATCACTGAGTGCGCCGAGACGACAACCATTCGTGCTATAAACTTTGGTACGACTGATATCGAGGATGGAGAACTAACCTCTGTAAAATCGTCTCAGATACTGTTTTTTCTATCCTTTCCTCCGAAATAGATTCAGCTAGCTTTCAGCCTCTTCCATTGTGGTCTTTCAGGTCCAGTTTGTCTCTGATCCTTAAGGGGCGTCCAGACCAGATGAGCGAGCAGGAGCGAGCAAAAATTCGGGTATGTTCTATGGGAACGCTTAACTGGTGTGGACGGCTCTGCGAGCGAGCGAATGATTGCTTGCTCGCGCTCGACGCTGTTCCACGCCGTGTCGGTACATCAAAGAAAATTCACGCTATTGCATGTTCGGTTTGGACGGGGTTTTGTTTACCACGTTTGCGATCGAATATCAAAAATGGAATGGCCGAATGAAGTTGTTTTAGAACTAATAGAGGAGTACAAAAATCGCCAAGACCCGTAAGGCTATAGCTAGCCTTTCTCTAGGTGAAATTGCTTTTCGGTAATTCGTATCACTTTTCATTATTTTTATGTCAATTAAATCTAATAAGGTATTAAAATCTCTAAGTGACATCCGACAAAAGTTCTTAAATTTTCCAGAATCTTTTCTTTCAACATCGTTTAGTAAATTGTTACCACCATGAGAAACTCGATTTTTAAAAAGAGTTATGTTCCACCATCTCCTCTGCAGTCGTTTTCTCTTTTGACGTTTCAACAATTTATAAAATACAATGAAAGACGCACAAGCAATAAGTTTTTCGGACATTATGAACATGAAGTGCCACACACCGATCAACGCCGAACATACAAATAATCGCTAGGTCTGGACGGAAGCTGATCATGTGCTCGAGAGCAGCAGAAATCACGAGCGAATTTGAATAATTGTTTGCTCGCGCTCGTTACTGCTCGCTCATCTGGTCTGGACGCCCCTTTAGGTTACATACTCTAGTAGTAATTTTCTTGTTTAGCTTTTCAAAGTTTAATAACTTGAAGATTGAACCTTTCATATAGCCCACTGTTTAGTGGAAAGAACTACACATCTTTCCGGCTGTCGCACTGGTACAGAATAGTTTCTGCTGTTTCCTCTTCTGGTTGTATTGTTTATTGAATTTATTAAGCTGCTTAAAATTGATATTACCGTGGTCCTTTTGAAGTGAAACTTCTTTACGCGCGATGGGATTAAAAATTCAAGACTGGCACCATGACATTCTTGACACGACATGACCTTGACCATGCCTTGACGCACGAGCTAGCGAGAAAAAAAGTGGCGAGGATCGCGCAATCACCAAAAACATTTGATTTAAAGCTAAGAAAATCATTATAATCAACTTGATGCTGTACCTGGGTACAAATATCCTCTGGTTGTGTACTAGAAAGTAAATTGTTATGCACATTTTCATCGATAGGTTTGTAGCTTCTGAATAACGGTCTAGGTAAAGCATTTAGCTCATTTGCTGGCTCAGAATTAGAATTATTAGAGTTAAGCAACTCGCATTTTCATTGAAGAACATAGTCATATTTATTTCAAACCAATAATCAACGAGAATATTCGCATAATTTAACAAAATTACTGTATACCACTATAAATACAAATTGTTTGTTAGGTTCAAAATTCTTTTCTTAAATTTATTTAATAGTTAACATTATTTATTTAATAGTTAACAGCATTTGCATAAAAGTGTATTTTGGATTGTATTCAACAAAATTTGCAGGCTATTGAGGAAACAGAAAATGTACAGATTACAGAAATAAATTGAAAATAACATTTATATTAAAACAGCATTATATGTCACTGTTACAAACATGTCCTTCAATTCCTCCAATTTAATTGTGTTAGTAAGAAGTTAACTTCAAATATATGCACATAGAGCACACACATTTTTTATACCTAATAATAACCATCTTCTAATTCTTTATCCTTGTCTTTTAAGTTTGAAATACGTTGCATCCGGGAGAAGTGTTGAAATATAGGTACCTATTTATTTATCAATAAATAAGTGTTAAAGCAGTAATTACATTTAAAAAAATATAAGTAATTGTCATTGCAATTGAAATAGAATTTCTAAAACCGTTCCATTGGTGTAACATTACTAATTTTAACTGACAATTATTATATCGTAAAACTATTTATAAAAAATGTGTGGTAGGTAGCTTTCGCCGCACCGCGCTGTACGTTCGAAAAGCATAAAATCTAAACGATTCTACAGATGTTTAATCGAATAAATAATTTGTCATTCATGATTTGTTGTAAATGGCCGCAACGTATCCGGACACGATGAATGTGTTAATAAGAATTTGAATTGCAATAACACAGGGCCGCAATAGACTAATTTGTAACTTTTTTCTTTATAAATACATTCGGTATTCTTGCTATATTTGTCATAAAATAGTTTTGTCAAATTTAACATTATATAAAATTTTTAAAAAATTGAAATATTTAGTTTATGTATACTAACCAGGCAAAAAATAGGTATGTCTTCATGAAATCTGGTAGTTGCACTCATAGAGCAGAGCCAAAATATTTTTAGTACAGGAAACCATCATTCTACATGGGGGTTTCATTAATGTTGACTCTTGTGATGCCAGGACTACATCTTCATCTCTTTCTTTAGTTTCATTTTTGAGCTCCATTTTTTTTAATTCTTCATAATATGCTTATTAATAATATCTGTAAAATCAAGAAAAATATATGCTTTAAAACTAAATCTTATATAACTTAAGAATAATTAAAGCGTGGTAATTCAAAAGCGTCTAAGTGCCAAAAAGTTATTTTTGAGTTATTAAGGTTTTTGTTATAATACATAAAAAAAAACAAGTATATTGCGGTGAAAAGTACTTTAATAATCAGTATTAAGTGTTTGAAGCATAAAACACGTTAAAAGAATTACCAAATTCATAAAACAAAGAAACAGTCTAAGTTCAAAATTAACATAGATTCAAAAGCGTCTATGTTCCAACTAAACATACATCCAAAAAAATAAAACTGAACACGAACGTAGATTAAATTGCTACTTATTTTGATTTCTTGGTATCATCAATCAAAGTTTCCCAATAACTTAAATATTTTAAAGGTATATAGTCTAGCATATCTTCAAAATTTTTAATTTTTTCAGCAGAGATTCGATTCTTGCATTCTAGGAGAGGGAGGGAGATTTCCTAAAATATCCTGTATCCTTTTTCCCTGCTTGAAAACATTACACTCAGTCCATGCTTCCAGCTCACTGAAAGATTTCTTAATTTTCACCATTTTCAGATTTTCCTTATTAACCATAATCCAGGAAACCTGAGATATTTTTAACTTCGTTGTGTTCAGCATTTCGTCGGCAAGTTTCTGAATGTCTTTACAGTCCTCAGATTGCATCGTAAAAGCTTTAAAAGGATTCTTGTGACATGCATTCTTTATCATATCTTTTATATTATCAGGTGTGAAAGCTTTTGTTACTCTTTTTCGCTTTTCGATTTGAGCGAAGTCACGATCACAAGGGAGGTATGTGTGACCAGAAACTAAGAATTTTGGTTCAACTTGCTCATATACTCCCATAGCCACCAAATACATTAACAATAAGAGCATTATTTTATTTTTATTTTGACCAATGCAATTATTGTCACTCCATATGATTAACTTTTTAGAAAAAAAAATCATTACAGCAATGTGTAATGAATTGGCACTTAGACGGTTTTTCCCTATAATTGCTTACTCAACTTGGACGTCGCGCCATCTTTTAGCCGAGTATTTAACGTTAAAATAGCAGTATGGGACTTAGACTGTTTTGTACGTTATAGGCCCTGGAACATAGATTACAAAATTAATGAAATCTTAAATTCGATCAATTTGGCACTTAGACGCTTTTGAATTTCCACGCTTCAATTTATTTTATGTATTATGTAAGAACATGTATAATCAAAAAGTTACAAATTGAAAAACATTTTCGCTAGTGAAATAAAAAAGTGTGTTTTTATTTGAAAAAAATGATTTATGTTAATTTTTTAATCGCTCAATTCCATGACAGCTACAGCCAATAGTGTGCCAATATTATATGACATTCAAACAATTTAATTTTTGAAACAGATAGCCACATGTCTTCTCTTTATGTCACAGTGACTGTGGTAGTCACTCAATCAATTTGACGTTTAGGTTATACAAATTTTTTGACAGGCAGTTTGTTTCGTCCAAATATGTTTTTTTTCTTAGAAACGGTTAATGTTAGCTATAGAGTGTTTGATATCAAAATTCATAACATTTTACGGAGAATTGAAGTGTGTAATAAAAAATGGGGATACCCATTTAAAATAAGAAAGTTGCCGTCATATTAAGAATACTTTTGATCAATAGATCTGGTTTGAAACAATGATTGCAAAAAATCTCCGATATAGATATTCTAGTTCTCTAGAAACTTCTTATGCATGCTCAGCCTGGGACTCCCTGTAAACATTGTTGATTCTGTTGATTATAATGCCGTATTTATGTAATTTGATAAACAAGTAAATAATTTCGTACTTAAGTAGAAAAATGTTATATTACACATAAAATATAGCATTTTATAATAAACAGTTCACTATCTTAAATAAAATCATCGTTTTTTTAATTGTGTAGCTTTTGTAGAGGAACATCGTCTTATTAAATCTACAGCTATGATTTTCTATCATCTACCAAGATCGCGTTTGGGTAATTTATTTGGCGTAACGAAAGTAATGAGTAATAAATGCTTGAGTTTTTACGTCAGTTTTGTATTTAATGATAGCAGCTCAAAAATATACATGAACTAATTGATGTTAGTCAATCATATCCGCCGTATATTTATCATACTTTTCTCGTGAACGTACTAAAATAACTGTTTACGTACATTCGACGGGTTTTTAACTATTAGGTACATTCAGTTTTACCTGATGTCTATTAATTCTGAATAAGACGCTTTAAAGCAAAACACTAAAAATATTTCATTTTACTCATGACCTCGAATCGTTAATTTTACCTATTATTATTACTTTCGTGACATTTTCAGTTAAATTATATCTAGTGCCAATCCTGCGTTCTAATGTTATGCAAAATGACTAAGAAACACCTGCCTGCACAGCTGTACTATATATTTCGATTTTCCGTAATACTCATCATGTTTTCCACCTTTTTACAGTTGTAATAATTATGCAACTAAACGCATTCGTAACACTGCGTCTTGATTATGACCTACACTTAATAATGGTACGATTGTTATCTCGTTCTATTATATCCCTACCTCTAACTAAGAAACTATTCTTTAAATACACACTTTGAAACTAAAGCGATAATAATTTATGTATAACATTGAATTTTTTCTCTCTATTTCTTTCTCTATTTCACTATTTCTTCAAAATATTTTGATACAAAAAGTGCCATCAGCTTATTTTGTTATAGCAGAGCCTATTCATACCCAACATAAGCATGTAAATCTGTGTACATACCTATAAATGCGCTTATCTTGTTCTGAGCTCAAGTCAAATCAACTGGCTGTGTAATGAATAGGTTGTGGTTATAGTTTAGTATTTTTCTACCTGGGAGTTTTGTAGTGGATACAATTTTCAAAATGTCAATTGCTCACAAAAGGTAGGTCAATCTTTGCCAGATAAAAGTCCAGCTTCTTACACCCCACTGCCTTTATAATATTTATCTTCATTGTTGTAGTGGTGTCAGCTTAGATCCAGATTAAATTGTTGATGTTCCTGAAAAATGAATTAACAGCCATTAATGTTTAATCAAATAATCTTTGATTATCGACATAACTTTGCAGGTAATGTTATCACACCAAACTTATGGTTAATCAAGCATACCTACAAGGATAGGAGTATTTGGGCCGAAAACTAAATCCTCTTTTAAGCAGCATCTACGCTATCGAAAGATGCGTAGAACTTGTCTTAGATAGGAACTATCGGAAACAAAAAATATCTTAAATAATACCATCTTATCTGGTAGTCAAGCGGCCTTAAGAGCTGAACAAATTAGGCAAGACAAATAAAGTCCTCCTACTCTGGGTGCCTACCAAGGGATAGAAAGTAATGAAAAAGCAAATGATCCAGCTTCCAGCTAGAAAATCTCCACTATCTGAACCAGGTCAGTTCTGCTTCCCAAGTGGAAATCAACTTAAATCAGAACTCAGGAACCTGGAAGACTCCATCCGTAACCTGGAATGGAAACCCACCACCGGTCTAAGATACTCTGGGTTTTTAATAGGCTACTGTCTCCTCAATGAACACTTCAGTAGATTGAAGCTAAGAAACAACGGCGAATGCAGATTCTGTCGGGAAAATAGGGAAACTCCAGAACACCTTAGACGACATGCCATAAACTTTGATACGACTGATATCGCAGATGGAGAACTAACCTTTGTAAAACCGTCTCAGATACTGGCTTTTCAAAACCATGAGACTGTATGATGAGTTATAACTTAAGAAAGATCACAATAAACCTACAACCTGCAACACAGAGATTTATCTCATACATCAATTACATAATAGGTATGTTCTCTGATTTTCTATTTTTTACAAACACATTTCCTAGAAACAAAGCCTGCCCTGTATCGTTCCCAACACATGCAAAGTGGCCGCGACACACCTGTGAACGCAGCTGCACCAGATTTTGATTTTTCCCCAAGACGCATCATAGAATTCCGTTTGAGCGGCAATTCCCCGCTCGTCCACTGCGTCGGCATCGCAACAGATAACGAATTTCTTTGAAATTAATCAGCCACCTATTAGAAAACGCATTAAACACATCGAAGTGTATCATGGCAGCGTTAATCGATTCGATCAATCTTGCCAGTTGGCCTTAGGGATTTACTAACTTTCGAGAAAATCGATATTGTAGATCGTGCTCTAGTTACTTTGTTTTGTTTAGGTATTATGTGAAAAAATTTGACTCTAAAAGGTACCCCAAGCTTTTTATGAACCTTGTATCTCTTTCGAAACCGTTCTTCAATGTACTGAACAGGCATTGACTGATAACTGATGTTAACCGAATTTACCGAAGTTCAGAAGCTTTTTTTTAGTTCACAAGACTCAGACTTATGAACTTGCTATCTTTCGAGAGAATCAATAATTTAGTTTGCTTAGATCTTGTGTAAAAAAATCTGACCTAAAATTGTTCAGGCTTTTTTATAAAACATATTTTTGGAGACTATCTTGCTCAAAACACTGTGCTCACAGTTACTTTTTCTAAGATCATGACCCACTGCCTCTCCTTTACTTACTAAAGCTCAAGTTTGCAAAATAAATTTCACAAAATTTAACGTTTATGGTTCTTAAAGAATATGTTGTTAAATCAGTATTATTTAACACCTTACCGTGTAAAGAAGAAATTAAAAAAGAAAAGGTAAAGTCTGAATCAGTTACCGGTTTTTTAAATAATCGATACTACAATATATCGATTCAGATAAAGCATCTCTATATAAATCTAGTATAGAATAGTTTGCCGTTTCAGTAAATGCGGTTTTTAGATGCTCTTCCGCAAAGTAACAGTACGGATTTTAGGAATGCCAACGGAATTGTTTAGTTTGAGATTGTATCGTGATGTTTACACACACTCTTTCAAGAAATTAATCGAAATAAAGTTATAACATAGCCCAACAGAATTAAATTGTAGTTTTAAATAAAATTTAACAGAACAGGATTTAAAACAAATGTTATTTTCAAGTATATTCCTTGATGTTCCAAGTGTATGATAAAATGTATTTATTTACATGCATATTAATTTTTTGTTGTTGCATTGTCATGGGGTGTTGCAGATTCTGTGGGGAAAATGGGAAAATTGGTGTGACTGATATCGGAGATGGAGACCTAATATCTGTAAAGGAGTCTCAGATACTGGCTTTTGTCAAAGCCCTGAGACTGTATGATGCCTGGAATTCACAAAGGAAAAGAGCACGGCAGAGAAAACCTCGATCACTATTCCAAAGAATACAACTATGCTGTTCTGAACTTTAATAAAGAAAATAATAATATAAATACTGTTCTCATATCAAAGTTTGTAGTTTAATACATTCAAAACATGCCACATTTATTAAATTCAAAACTGAGGAGGTCTTTGTTAGTTGGCTGGTTATATGAATACACTCATCAAGGCCCTTATTGTCACACTAATTTATACTAAACCAAAAACATCGACAGGAACAGTCAGTATTAGGAACAGACTGATTGCATTCCGATACTTTTAAAATAGAAATTATTAACAGCATAAATCGAATCTATTAAATACATACACATGTTATAATAATAACTCAGAAAAAAGTCAGGTAAAACTAATAAGGAAAATATTAAGCACAGAATATTACAACAGAGAAATAAAATATATACTTTAGGTAACACTAGTTTAATAGTGAAAAACATTTACCTACCTTTAATAATTCTTTGTCACAATCACCAAAACTTACAAACCAAAACAACATCAATGCGTCTCGAACCGTAGTCTAAAAGCTATTACGTAACACCTATAAATTCTGTTCAATATCTGATTTTCCTCCCAATAGTTTTTGTATAAATATTTTAAAAATCAATAACTATTTATGTATACAGAGTGTCTTAAAACTGACTCTTTTGGGTTTAAAGAAATATGTTTACTTTGGGTCTGGTCCACTTTAGGTACGTCAAAATTTTAAATTTTTTTATACAGAATTGAGAAGAGGAACACTTATAATGACATTTTCTAACAAAAAAAGTGCGGATCGTCCATAAATAACACCAAAAACAAACCCCCCAAAAAGAATGTTGTAACCAATGCAATCAAAACTCAGTTACGGCGGACGTTTTTACCATTGTGATCCTCTTCTCAACCTTTAACACAGATCAAAATATAATATCTATTCTTATCTTAATATCGCTACCGCTATTTTTCAAAATTAATAGGAAAGTATAAATAAAACAAAATTCCGATTTTCAATATTTCATTGTTACCGCCAGCGATATACGCAGACGCGAGCAAAAGACAAATAAACCTAAATCTGCGTCTTCCTTGTCACTCTTATTAAACTTAATAAGGAAAGCTATATTCTAACCTCAAAAAATAAATAATTTTATTGCAGAAATCTCAAACATTTAGCCGAGTATCCGTACAATCCGTACTTAAAACGTTAAAACATTAATTGTAGAATATATTAATATCAAATTTATATCAATAACTTCAAGATTGACGACCTACCTAAAGTGGACCATCACCTTTATTTTTAAATAGGTCGGTCATCTCAACCTTTAATTTCTTTAATACATCTAGCCATCAAATATGTATTAAAAATAAAAACGCACTATAGACAGACATTTACAGGAAGTCAGCTACTCGTAATCGTTTGTTTAAGCATCAATGGAGGTCTCTGGCCAATAAATATTTAAATTCCGTCAAATTTCGATGTTAAATAATGCGTAAGTAATTTTTGAATAGGAAGAAATCGTACGTTCCACACGTTATAAACCCGTCCTGATGTTTATTCATACCGTTAACGTTAGCTTCGTTAGAATTATGGTTTTATTTTATTCGTCATTTCAATATTTGTCCATCATTCTCGTTAATATGGTCACTTTATTTTGACTTTATGGTAATAATCCTTCGAAAAAATTAATATGCCCTGCTTAAAAATACGTAGAATTTAAATATAGTTGAATAAATATCATAACATTTTTTTTAACTGGCATTTGTTAATGCGTCGTACGTATAGTAATTTTTTTATTCCGCGTTTTCTCTAAAAATATTAATATACCGTTCCAAAAAAATGAGTGGAATTTGAATATACTTAGTGAATAAATATCAAACATTTTTTCTGTATATATATATATATATATATATATATATATATATATATATATATATATATATATATATATATATATATATATATATATATATATATATATATATATATATATATATATATATATATATATATATATATATATATATATATATATATATATATATATATATATATATATATATATTATATATATATATATATATATATATATATATATATATATATATATATATATTATTAACAGACACTTTTGTTAATGTGTTTCATGTGTACTAATTTTTTTTCTTTCTTTACAGGTTAGTATTACAAATTGAAACGACACGACGTTATGATATATCCAAAGGGTAAGAACTTTGATCTTCAAATTATGTATTTCGGTATGCTTAGAGTAACAAGGGGACTAAGAATTTGGGAATTTTCTTAATGAATGTTTGTTTTTGCTACAATAATACACATATACATACATAGTATATATTTTCTCAATTTATATTGTTTTTACTCTAGTATGGTCTGAAGATATATAATTATGTTATCGAAATTTTGCTTTTTTTAGGGTTCCCTACCCAAACGGAAACCCTATTACTAAGACTTCGCTGTCCGTCCGTCTGTCACAAAGGTCTATCTTATGAACTGTTATAGCTAGACAGTTGAAATGTTCACAGATAATGTATCTATGTTGCCGCTATAAGAACAAATACTAAAAACAGAATTAAATAAATGTTTATAAATAAAAAAGTACTTTCACTAAACAGTATCTTTTAAGTAAGAATTTTACATAGAATCTTTCAAGTCCTCGGTGGCCGCATGGTTAAAGCGTTAGGACTTTACGCTGCTATGACGTTGGAGCCGTAGTAAGGCAGGTTCGAATCCTAGTCAAGGCGACATTTTTTTAATCGTTTTTTTTTTAAAGAAAAAAAACTAAGTTTC